TATTGTGTTTACACAAACATTTTAGATTAAAAAATTCTAAACATTTAGTGACTTTATGTCTGCAATTTGATAATTTTAAATGTCTCTCATTATTTTTCTGCAATATTTTATTATACATAGATGTCAATATTTCTTTACCCTTAAAGCGCCGATTATGAGTAACGTAGAGATGAGGATGGTCATGCAGAGGTTGATGGCGAAGATAATCTTTACGGCTGTTTTGTCTAGAATGTCGATGATTATCGTTTTCCATTCTACGTTCGCCGTGAAGATCAGGATCAGGAAAAGCACAGCTAGTATCTGCACGAAATCGGTTTACGTAATAATTGAATCACGTGCGAGTTGTGAAAATATAGAAATGATGTACTTACGATGCCACATACTCCACTGAAAATTGTTCCTGTTTTCAGGGAACAACATCTGCAACAGGTCGTCAGCTGCATTCTAAAATAAAGTAACAGTTCCATTATTTTATCGAATTAATATTACTATTTATTAATATTATTACTATTAGTATTTACAAAATATTTAAATAGATAACAAATGTGTATTATTCATCATTACAAATATAATTTTGTTATATGTGAGTTTCTGCAATATTTTTTTTCTAATATTGAATATTAATCTCTTCTTTTTCTATCTTTTATCAAATCTGATAAACATTAATAGATGAAATTATAATAGATGAAATATTATAATAGATGAAAGTATTATAATAGATGAAAAATTGCTAAAAGTAGTATTTGCTAATAAACTAAGAAAAATAAGTTTCCAAGGGACACATCAAGTCGAAATGATTTTATTTTGAAGTCAAAATAATGAAAATCAAAATGATTTCTAATTATAACATTTGACTGTTTATTGATGTTAAAACTCAAAATAAAGTCATTTCGATTTTGTTCGATTTTTTGTTGACTTTTATGTATTCCTTGAATTAACATTCTTTAATCATCAATTTTTGAAAATATTAAATAAGAGATATAGAAAAACTGTGTTTCTAAACTCGATTTTTTTCGCGACATTATCTTGATCAAAATATATCAGAATATGCTTTGCATAATCCTATCATAAATTCGCCACACCCACCCGCACCTCATCCACCAATTACGGATGATGACGCAGTGAATTACGGAATATTGGGCGATGATGCGACAACGTGATCCATTCTCGCTGCAATGTATCGCAACATCGCGCGCGAGAAGTTAATTCGTGTTATGTCGAGAATAAGGGAAATTTGGGTCATTGGCATGTATCGCGCGCTCGCTTCTATTTTAGACACTAAACGAGTCGCGTATTCGTCGTCGCTGACCTTCCTTCCGGCGTTTATTATTATTTCTCCAATACTCAGGGATTCGATATCCGGTGGCGAGAAATAGATACATCCTCTGCGGATAAAAAGACACGACGTAATTATGTTTAAAATTTTGAATACTTTACGATCTTTCTACGATTATTTTTAAAGTACATTGTTAAATTAAATATAATGTCAAATTATACATGATTTGAATTATTTTATATTTACAGGTCGCTACTGCTCCTTCAATACGTTATTAATTTAAATAAAATAATAGAGTTAAACAATTTTGCTTTCCAGCAAGAGACAGAGTATAACATAATGTAACACAGTGAATCATTACATCTTTATTGTTTGCCAATATTAAATAGAGAAATGATCACTATGTTATTATTATACATTGTGTTACATTGTAGGATTCTCTTTGAAGAATTTTGACAAAATCGCTCGTGGCCAGATTCTGATACAGCGTCTCTAATTTATGGTGCTTTCCAGCAAGAGATAGAGTATAAGTGATCATTTTATTTCTATTTAACAAATAATAAAGATATAGAATAATTCACTATATCATCTGCATCTCTTATTGAAAATTAAGCATCCTTTAATTCAAGAAAATATATTCAGTTTGATTCAAATTTAGTTTATTATTTACTTAAATGCATACGTTAATAATATGGACGATGTTTACTTTGAAACTAGATTGGAGCACTGAAATAGATTGGATTGATTTATATTTTGACATAAATAGAAATTAAAAACAACAAAATATTAACTCAAGGAATTGAGATATTGCTCCTTTGATATTTAAGTGTATACAGTCATCGCATAAAACGGAGTTCGTTTTCCATTTTTTGTCCAAGCGAATAGCAACAGACGAAGGTAGGCGTATTTTGCTCAGATCAATATTTCTTTGAGCCTGTCTCCGATCTGAGGTCGACTGAGGAAACAAGATCGCTACAAAATCGTGTATACGCAGTCGCGAC